CCCAAATGATTAGTCTAAGCAATTATGGTTGATCCCATTTCCTTTGCAGTGAAGGGTTAGGAATGGCCTGTAACCTATTCTGGCCAATGAGATGTGAAAGGAAGTCTGGAGGAGGGCCAGAGTGCTTCTGGGAGAGAGTTTCTTGTCTAAAAAGAGGTAAAAGAAAGAGATGGTACCTCTTCTTCCTCTGATGATGTTATGTGTGAATATGTTGGCTAGAACTGCTCAGGCCGTCTTAGGACAATGAGAGAAACTAGCTTTGGATGAAGCTCATCTAGAAGGTGGCAGAATGAGAGAAGAAATCTGAGCCTTCGATGACCTTAACTGAATTGCTGATTGTACTGTACTGTACTTGGTCTGATCTACCTCTGAACTTCTAGTTCTGTGAGATAATACAGTTCCTTATTGTGTAAGCCAGCATGATCTGGGATTTTGTCACTTGCAGCCAGAAGCATTCTGAGTGGTATACCAGCAGTTTCACATCAGATGGATTTGGTTTTATTATGACAGATTTGCTTTTATCAGAGCTCTTCCCTCCCCTGTCTTCTGGCTTCATAAAATGCGTGCAGATTCTGAAAAGCCAGTGCTTGTCTCAGTCTTCTCTACAGGGCTCTGCCTCAGACCAGAGGTCTTCACAGAAAGCAGTAAAGAACTGGTCTATTTTCTCATCTCCTGTCTTACTCATGGCATAAACTAGCACCAGAAATGTCTAGGGGTTAGGGTACTTGAGTCTTCATTATGGCTTTACTATTTGGCAACTGTAATCTTGGGCAAGTCACTTGAAAACATTGAGTTTCTTCTTTGAAATTGGTTAATAATTGTCTTTTTTCCCCCATAGTATTATTGTGATTCAAATGAAATCATGTGAATATGGCAAATAAAAAAACCCTGTTTTTAAAAAATGAATACTCAGGCTTGGTTGGATTTTCTGATTATTTTCCAGTGAACTAATGTCGAAGTCTCTAGAATCAGCTCTGTGTAGCTTGTTATTAGCCCATCAAAAGGCAAGGAAGTGTGGTATTGGGCATAATAATACAAATAATTAGGGATTGAAGTTGATATTTTAGTGGCAACTTATAGCCCAAAATAAAATGAAGGGACCACACAATATGAAGGAGAAATAAAGGTCAGAATGTTTATCTTGAGGCTTATTTCTAGTTCAACCAGAAATTCTGGTGAGCCAAATTAGGGGGAAGAGAAACCAATAGAAGAAACACCCCCCTCTAGTGGCGAGGGGCCAGATTCTAACCTTTGGTTGCTAAGATGGGTGATTGGGGGAATGGATGGCTTTTTAGGATGTTTTTTAAGTTTCTTTCTTTTTTTTTTTTTTTTTTTTTTTGAAGTTTTATTATTAAGTAATCTCTGTACCCACCATGGGGCTCCAACTTACAGCCCTGAGATCGAGAGTCACATGCTCTACAGACTGAGCCAGCCGGGCACGATGTTTTTTAAGTTTCTTAAGAAGACTTTGAGGATCTAGAGTTAGAACTTTTAAGGAAGATATTCCTTGTCAGGGGAGTTAACACATTTCACAGAATATGTAGTATTTTGGCAGTTTCATGTGGAATTGATTAAAAAATGTGGAGGCTACAGTTGGAAGAGGCTTACAGTTTACTTTTTTGTAGGCCATTTAGAGATCATGAAAATTAGGAGACTGTTGTTACTAAATTTCTTCTTGATCTGAGATGATGCAGTAAGTACCTTTATAAATCCATTTGTAGGGGGATAAAGCCTATATTTAAATTTACGGATAATGCCATATGGTAATATTCACCTATATACACAAAATAATGGCTATGGATTTCCAAGGATAATTTTTTATTTGAAATTTTTTAGTGACCATCCTGAGAACTGGATGCTTAGCATGCATATTGGAGGTGATTTAATTGCTCCCTATGAAAAGGTAGTGAAGTTAGGTATATTAAAATAATGTAGTACTCACAATTTAGTGGCTTGGTAGGAACACCTAAAGCATTCTTGAAGGACATCTCATTTTAAGGATGTATGTTGTTGATGAAAATAATAGCAAGTGATTATTACATTTACAAATCTCGAAGTCCATTGAAGTTTTTATTGTTCAACTGGTTTTTAGGAAGAATTCTTTTACATTTACTTAAAGATCTCTGAAGGGGCAACATTTCAGACAATAAAATTTTTATGGTACTCTGGGTTAGATCTAAGGAAGATTTGAATGCCGTTCAACTCCAATATAGAATAGAATGATTAAGACACAAGAAAATAAATTCTGGTACAAGATTGCATTATCAAAGTACCATTTAAAAAAAAATTTTAATGTCAAACTTCCTTGCCCTGAAGGAAAGATATTTGCAGCTTGCCGTAGAACCAACCTCTCAATAATTTAGAATGTGTTTGAAGATGTTTTATGTAAAATAAAAATGGAAAAATTCCCTAGAAAATAGAAACTTATACATGGATAAAGTAAGATTATAGAGTTATGAAATTAACTTTTGTGCATAACATGTGGAACTAATATCCTTAGTTTATGGTTATACTTCATAAATATACTTCATTTTAGGAAAGAAGAACTAGGTCTGGCAGTAGATCAGGATCTACCTATTGGGGAAAACCAGAAATAGGAGGAAGAGGTTATTAATGGTTCACTCTTTGCTGAGAAAAATTCAGTATGGGATAATTAAGGTCAGCTAGAGAAAGAATTATGATTATGTTAAGTGAGTTCACAGATATTGTTGAAGGCAAATCAGCTAGAACTGATTTGTTAATATATATGGGGCAATAAACCAATTAGATGGTCTCTTTACTAAATTAGTATGACAGTGGTAGAAGGTATCTGGAGGGAAATAAAATACATGATAGGGTTAGTGGTAATTAGACCTTCATTAAATCCTAGCACTAAAGAGGTGTACCATGTATATTAGTGATAGCTTAATTCTATAAATAAAATTTGGTATTAAGAATTGATAGAATGTTGGCATTGTTAAAATTAGGCAAGTATTGATTTGCATAAAGGGTTGCAGCAAGTGGTTTTGAATGAAGAGCCTAGGCTCCAAACCTCATTTGGAATTCCAGATAAAGTATAATAATAATAATAACAATAATACATCTTTGCTTAGAATTTTACAGTATTCTGAGTGTTTTCACGGACATGATTTCATTTTAGTCTTGGGGGATAGTAGCACAGGTCTGATTATCCCATTTTTACTAATAAGGCAATGGAGGCTCCGGGAGCCTAAGGGACTTGCTAAGGAGCAAATAGGGACTAACTGCCAGGTATGGGACTTGAACCCAGGGTTCCTTACCAGAATGCCTCTGTTCACTCTGTCCTGGGGTAACCAATGATCACAGACTGAGGGGTATAAACAACCGAAATGTACTTTCCCACAGTCTGGGAGGCCAGAAGTCTGAAAGGTTCTGGCCTCCCAGCTTCTGCTGGCTGCTGGCATTCCTTGCCTGGTTGCCTCACTCCAAGCTCTGCCTCTGTGTTCTCATAGCTTCCTTCTTTTCTGCTCCGTGTCTTTTCCTCTTCTGTGTCCTTTCTCGGAAAAGGACTTTTATAAGGACTGACTTTAAGACTCCACTTGTCATTAGATTTAGGGCACACCTAGATAAGCCAGATACTTTCCTCATCTTAAGATCCTTAATTACACCTGCAAAGGCCCTTTATTTAAATAAGGTAATATTCACAGGTTCTAGGTAATAGGGCACGAGCATATCTTTTCAGTGGCCACCATTCAACCCACTACATTCATTATATGCAATTTAATTCTGTATCTTCCTTTTGGATTGAAGAAATAATCTTCCATCTGAAGATAGGTAGTGGACTAGGGAATTTTTAGCTAGCATTTAGAGAGGAACATTTAAAATATTTCTGGTTGGTGCTAAGTGCTTACTAAGTAGAATTGAACTAATTAATACAAGAGTTCCACCAAATTGTTATGCTAGCTTTTGCATTCACAGAGCTATAAGAAATGAGACAAATGAAGTTAAAGTAACATTCAACTATTCATGATTAACTATTGAAAGTTGATTTTTTGGGTGCCTGGGTGGCTCAGTCGTCAAGCATCTGCCTTTGGCTCAGGTCATGATCCCAGGGCCCTGGGATCGAGCCCCGCATCGGGCTCCCTGCTCGGCAGGTCCCACTCCCCCTGCTTATGTTCCTTCTTTTGCTGTGTCTCTTTCTGTCAAATAAAATCTTAAAAAAAAAAAGGTTGATTTTTTTGTTTTTGTTTCTTGTGTAATTGGGTAGAAGAGGTGTGTGTGTGTTTTACATTTTTTAAATGACCTTAGTCAGTATAATCAGTTTCTTATATCACATGGGCATTCGAATTTGGGTCATATAAATCAAGATTCATGTATGTAAACTCTCTGAGGGAAGGGACTTGATGTGTCTTATTCACAGTCAGATCCCCAGTATATTGCCTCACACATAACATAGATGTGCCCAAACAATTTGCTGAATGAATGAAATAACTTTTTTATGACACCCAAATCAGGTAGCCACAAATCCCATACTAGTTCACTTTTTGGAGGGTCCTGCGTGGCAGTAACAATAAGATCTATTCATTGTAGGAGAGTCTTCAATGACTTAAGAGATTCCACTGTGAGTCCATTTACTCTTGACAGAGCCTACAACTTTTTCATCTCTGATAATCTTTAGCTCCAGGCTAAAAAAAACCCGTCATCCTTGCCTTGCTCACATTAATAAAAATTAATGAATGAGATTCTTTCTGCCCATCAGTTCTCACTTGCATGAGCTCAGGTAACATTAGAGGCAGTAGAGTGGGGCTCATCCTGCAGCTTTTCAGATCATTAGTGCTAAACATTAAGCTCGGGGGAGGGTTCAGGCTCTTGCCTTCTCAAAAGTCTACATAGTTTTCACTCTCTGATACAGCTTTCAGTATTAACAGGTCAAAGTCCAGTGATTATAATTAACTACATGCTGGACTCCTCCATGTATTATCTCAACTACTGCTTCCAGCCAACCTTAGAAGTTAAGTACTGTCATCATCCTTGTTTTACAGAAGCACAAAGAAGTTAAGTAACTTAACCAGGTGCACACCAAGATTCGAAGCCAGGTAGTCTTACTTCAGAGCCTCTGTGCTTAGCTGTGTCCCAGTGCCAGCCTCATGCTCATTCGTTTGTAAGTAACCTGTTCTTTCTTTTTTGAAAGTTTATATTTTTTCTTTATTAAACTGGAGAAATTTTGCCAGGATATATCTAAGTGCCTTTTTTCATTTATCCTGCCTGGCATGCAGTCAGTGCTTTCGATCTAACAACTCAAGTCTCCTCCTGAGGGAAGTTTTCTTGCACTATGTTTTGATTATTGCTTTCTCCAATGTGGTCCCTCTTGAATTTCTTTTATTTGCAATTAGGCCTCCTAGACCTGCCCTCTAGTTCTCTTTTCTTTTCATTCAGGAATTCCATTTCTTTTATTTTTGATCTGGGTAGTGCGATACCTCATTCACTTGCATTTCTGGGTAACAGTTACTCTTTAATTCCTCAATTGAAATTTGAAATTATGAATCATTTAAAGAATTTCCCAGTGTATTATTTTTTTCTTGGTTATTCCTTTACATCCAACAGCACATAAAAATATCATAACCAAGGGGCTTCTGGGTGGCTCAGTCAGTTAAGTGTCTGCCTTCGGCTCAGGTCATGATCTCAGGGTCCGGGATTGAGTCCGCATCAGGCTCCCTGCTCAGCGGGGAGTCCGCTGCTCCCTCTGCCCTTCACCCTGCTCCTGCTCTCTCTCACTCTCTCTCTCTCTCAAATGAATAAAATCTTTTAAAAAAATATCATAACCAAGTAAACACTGTTTCTTTCAGATATATAAGGCTGTTTCAACATTAGGAAATACTAATTTAATGTATCGCCTTATTAGATCAAAGGAAATAAATTTTAGGATTATTTCCACAGATATTACAGTGGTATTTGATAAATTCATTTGTGATAAAACAAAGAAATAAAAACAGTTCTTGGTAATCCAAGAGATGATACGTTCCTAATAGCCATTGTCATACTTAACATTGAAATACTTAAGGAATATTTTCTAAATGTGTCCTTTGAACTGTGGATCTGGGTTTTTTTTAAGTTTTATTTCATTGATGTATATGTATATATTTTACCAATACCATGTTGTCTTAATTGCTTAGTTTTTTGTTTTTGTTTTTAGAGTGCACATGCACCAGCATGAGGGTAGGGAGGGGCAGAGGGAGAGAGAGAGAGAATTTTTTTTTAAAAAGATTTTATTTATTCATGAGAGACCTAGACAGAGAGAGAGAGAGAGAGAGGCAGAGGGAGAAGCAGGCTCCCAAGGAGCAGGGAGCCTAATGTAGGACTTGGTCCCAGGACTCTGGGATCATGACCTGAGCCGAAGGCAGACGCTTAACCATCTGAGCCACCCAGGCACCTGAGAGAGAGAGAATCTAACCAGGCTCCACGCCTAGCATGGAACCCGATGCGGGCTCAATCTCATGACCCTGACATCATGACCTGAGCCAAAATCGAGAGTCAGACACTTAACCGACTGAGCCACCCAGGTGCCCCACAATTGCTTGGTTTTATATTAAGTACAGAAATCAGGTAATGTGAATCCTCCTTCCTAATTTCTCTTTCTCAGACTTGTTCTACCCATTCTAGGCCATCTACTTTTCCATATAAAGTTTAGAATCAGTCTGCTAAATTCTACCAAAAACTATGCTGGAATTATTTTTGAGACTGCAATGAATATAGAGTTAAGTTTGGAGAAGACTTGACATTCTAACAATATTGAGTCTTCCAACCCAAGAACATGTTATATAGTGCCATTTTTTACTTATCTCTTTAAAGTTTTGTATTTTTTTAAGCATACATATTTTCCATGTATTTTGTTAGCTCTTTCTCATTTTTTGTTGCTATTTTAAATGATACTTTTTTAATTAAGTTTTTAATTTTAATTCCAGTATAGTTAACATACACTCATATTAGTTTCAGGTGTAAAATACAGCGATTCGATGCTTCCATAAAATACCCAGTGCTCATCACAAAAAGTGTTCTCCTTACTCCCCATAACCTATTTCACCCATCCCACCACCAACCTCCCCTCTGTAACCATCAGTTTGTTTTCTGTAGTTAAGAGTTTGTTTCTTGGTTTGTCTCACTCTCTCTCTTTTTCCTTTGCTTATTTTGTTTCTTAAATTCCACATATGAGTGAGATCATATGGTATTTGTCTTTCTCTGACTGACTTATTTCGCTTAGCATTATACTCTCTAGCTCTATCCATGCTGTTGCAAATGGCAAGATTTCATTCTTTTTAAAATATTTATTTATTTATTTGAGAGAGAGAGAGAGAGAGAGAGAGAGCATGCACACGCGTGGGCAGAGAGAGGAACAGAGAATCTCAAGCAGACTCCATGCCACCGAGCGTGGGGCTGGATGTGGGGCTCGACCCCACAATCCATGAGATCATGACTTGAGCTGAAACCAAGAGCTGGACACTTAACTGACTGAGTCACTCAGGCACACCCCACACCACATCTTCCTTATGCATTCACCAGTTGATGGGCACTTGAGCTGCTTCCGTAATTTGGCTATTGTAAATAATGTTGCTATAAAAATAGAGGTGCATGTATCCCTTTGAATTTTTTTTTTTTATTTTTCCGGTAAATACCCAGTAATGCAATTACTGGGTCATAGAGTAGTTCTATTTTTAACTTTTTGAGGAACCTCCATACTGTTTTCCACAGTGGCTGCCCCAGTTTGCATTCCTACCAACAGTGAATTGGTCCATATCCTCACCAACACCTTTTGTTTCTTGTGGTTTTGATTTTAGTCATTCTGACAGGTGTGAGGTGATACCTCATTGTGGTTTTGAGTTGTATTTATTTCCCTGATGATCAGTGATGTTGAGCATCTTTTCATGTGTCTGTTGGCCATCTGGATGTCTTCTTTGGAGAAACGTATGTTTGTGTCTTCTGTTTTGTTTTTTTTTTTTTTTTAAAGATTTTATTTATTTATTTGACAGAGAGAGACACAGCGAGAGAGGGAACACAAGCAGGGGGAGTGGGAGAGGGAGAAGCAGGCTTCCCGCTGACCAGGGAGCCTGATGCGGGGCTCGATCCCAGGACCCTGGGATCATGACCTGAGCTGAAGGCAGACGCTTAACGACTGAGCCACCCAGGTGCCCCTGCCTGTTTTTTAATTGGATTGTTTTTTGGGTGTTGAGGTGTGTAAGTTCTTTATATATTTTGGATATTAACTGTTTATTGGATATATCATCTGCAAATATCTTCTTGCATTCCAGCAGGTTGCCTTTTAGTTTTGTTGATTGCTGTGCAGAAGCTTTTTATTTTGATGTAGTCCCAATAGTTTATTTTTGCTTTTATTTCCCTTGTCTCAGGAAACATATCTAGAAAAATGTTGCTAGGGATGATGTCAGAGGAATTACTACCTGTGCTCTTCTAGGATTTTTTTTTTTAAAAGCAGGCTCCATGCTCAGTGTGGAGCCCAACATGGGGCTTGAACTCACAACCTTGACATCAAGACCTGAGCTGAGATCAAGAGTCAGACATTTAACTGACTGAGCCACCCAGGCACCCCGCTTCTAGGATTTTTATGATTTCAGGTCTCACATTTAGCTCTTTAATCCATTTTGAGTTTATTTTTGTGTATGGTGTAAGAAAAGTGGTCTGGTTTCTTTCTTTTGCATATAGCTGTCCAGTTTTCCCAGCACCATTTCTTGAAGACTGTCTTTCCCCCATTGTCTATTCTTTCCTGCTTTATCAAAGATTAATTGACCATATAATTATGGGTTTATATTTGGGTTTTCCATTCTGTTCTATTAATCTGTGTGTCTAGTATCATACTGTTTGGTTACTCCAGCTTTTTAATATTTCTTGAAGTCTGGAACTTCAAGAAACCTCCAGTTTTGTTTTTCTTTTTCAGGATTGCTTTGGCTATTTGGGATCTTTTGTGGTTCCATACAAATTTTAGGATTGTTTGTTTTAGTTCTGTGAAAAATGCTATTGATATTTAGATAGGGATTGCATTAAACCTGTAGATTGCTTTGGTAGTCTAGACATTTTTAACAATACTTGTTCTTCCAGTCCATGAGCCTGGAATGTCTTTCCATTTGTTTGTGTTGTCTTCAGTTTCTTTCATCAGTGTTTTAGAGTTTTCAGAGTACAGGTCTTTCACCTCCTTTGTTAAGTTTATTCTAATTTTACTGGTTTTGGTGTAATTGTAAATGGGATTATTTTCTTAATTTCTCTTTCTCTTTCTGCTTCATTATTAGTGTCTAGGGATCTAGGATTTTATTTTATTTTTTTAAGATTTTTATTTATTTATTTGACAGAGAGAGAGAGACAGCGAGAGAGGGAACATAAGCACGGGGAGTGGGAGAGGGAGAAGCAGGCCTCCTGCAGAGCAGGGAGCCCGATGCGGGGCTCCATCCCAGGACCCTTGAATCATGACCTGAGCCGAAGGCAGACGCTTAACAACTGAGCCACCCAGGTGCCCCGGGATCTAGGATTTTAAAGATTTTATTTATTTATTTGAGAGACGTGGTGGGAAGGACCGAGGGAGAGAGAAAATTTCAAGCAGACTTCATACCCAACGCAGAGCTTGATGTGGGACTCGATCTCATGACCCTGAGATCATGACCTGAACCAAAATCAAAAGTCGGATGCTTAACTGACTGAGCCACTCAGGTGCTCCGGGATCTGAGATTTTACATAAAAAAAAGGATATCTTGGTATATTTGTTACAATAAAGCAAGATGTTTTAAGAAACACTGATATTTCAACAGCTTAATACAATAGGAACTTATTTCTCCCTCATGTAATAGTCCCATGTGGATGTTTCTGGTTGATAGGCACTTTTTCGCTGTATGGATTCAGGGACTCAGGTTCCTTGCATCGTGTGGCTCTACCATTTCTAGGGCCTTGAAATCTTCTCTTTCCAGCTGGCAGAAAAGCAAAGATATGGTGGAGGATGCACACTCTCTTCTCAATTACTTTAGCCTTGACATGATGCCTGTCATTTGTGTTCATATTCTCACATTCCATTGGCCAGATAGGTGATCTCACCTGTTTCTAAGGTGTGTTTGTATTGGGGGTGGGGGAGCATGGGAGAGTGGGAGATAGTTTTTGCCTGGGCAGCCA